CTGTCGATGTCTCTCATTGATGTTTCTAACTCTCTAGCCCTCTCTCTTTCTCTCTGTAAAAAAATCAATAAAATATATATTTTTAAAAAGAATGCAAAGTGGATTTAGGCATATCTATCTCCACTCCTTTACGTGGGGTCTTGCTTAAGCCATTTTCCTGCGGAGGAACAAATCACCATACCTGTGGCAGGATGGAAAGAAGTGCCACAGGCTGGGGCTAAGGGGCTGAGAGTTCACCTGTTTGCTCCAAATATACAAACGTTCCTTTCATGAGCAAACATGAAACAAAATATTTAAATAAATGAGTATATGCTCAGAGCTTTATAAACCAAATCCAAGGTGCAATTTTCCAAGACCTGGAATGAACTTGATGTATGTCAGATTTGAGATGCTAACAAAGTTATTTGTTTTTTTAATATATTTTACTGATTTTTACAAAGAGGAAGGGAGATGGATAGAGAGCTAGAAACATCGGTGAGAGAGAAACATTGGCCAGCTGCCTCCTGCACATCCCCTACTGGGGATGTGCCCACAACCAATGTACATGCCCTTGACTGGAATCAAACCTGGGACCCTTCAGTCCACAGACCAACTCTCTATCCACTGAGCCAAACCAGTTTCGGCTGTTTTTTCTTTTTAAAAATATGTGCCCTTACTGGGATCACAAACATGCACATCGGGACAATGTGCCAACTAACTGAACTCTCAGCCAGGGCAGATTACCTTTTTTTCTAAAGAAGTAATAAAAGCACAACATTCTCTAAGGTCATTATCAAGTCAGGGTTAAGGCAATCGTTACCATCTAATCCAGGCCCAATATCTGCTTTTGCCTAAATTACCTATCTCTTTGATTATCATTGGGGATAACTGTTTCAGTTTTCAGCTTGGCTTGATTTAGGAGTATTGGAGGAGTAACATTAGGCTTAAGGGAACACAAGCCAAAAAACATTAATCTCCTCTTACAGGAAAGAATACCTAAGTGTGATATGATGATTGAACAGTAACAAAAAGCAAAGTACTCCTCCTGCTAAGACATTTTAGTATAAACAGACACAATTAAGATAACTTAAGACTCCTACCCCATGTGTTGAAATTATTCTAAAAGAAAAAATTAGCCCTGGCTGGTTTAGCTCAATGGATAGAGCATTGGCCTTTGGACTGAAGGGTCCCAGGTTCAATTCCAGTCAAGGGCACATGCCTGGGTTGTGGACTTGGTCCCCAAAAGGGGGCGTGCAGGAGGCAGCCAATCAATGATTCTCTCTCATCATTGATGTTTCTTTCTCTCTCTCTCCCTCTCCCTTCCTCTCTGAAATCAATAAAAATATATATTTTTTAAAATCACAAATTCTTGTGGGAAGGCCTAAAAATTCATGGTCATAGTTGCAGTTGCCAGAAGTCAGGTGCAGAGATCTGTAGCTGATGCATAACTTTACAAAGAACCCTACTAACATTATCTTCCTCTTTTCTAACTCAAAATAAAATTGGTGGTTCTCCTTGACCACCTTTACTTTCAGAAAGTAATTTTTTATACTAGCTTAGTTATTTTTAACTGCAGTCCACTGTCTGCAGCTGTAAGAAATGTGGTCATCTCAGAGGAAAACAAGCGTTAGAAAGCTTCTCACTGGCAGCCTCAAACCTCTCAACGTGCCTAATCCTTTGCTTGCAACAGCATGGACTCCCCTGTGGACTCTTGGGAGCACTGCCGACCCCTTGTGTCTGAGGCCTTACATTACAGTCTTTCCGCTGGGCTATCAGTGTGAGCAGGGAGGGAGGGTTTCAGAAAGAAAGTCAGTTAAGAGGTCAAAGGCCATATTCTAGGGGAACATCTAGACAGCTGTATTTTAACTTGTGTGTTTGTGACGTAATGAAAATATTAAATGCTGGTTAACCCACTTTCTAAACCTTTTAACTCCAGGCCAGACAGACTGGGAGCGATTACAACTTGTTCAGGGGTCTGTGGGAATGCTGGCAGTTCTAATTTACATATTAATGCTCGAAAACATTTTCAGAGGCTAAGAAGAGAATTCTTTGGTCCTAATAATGAATAGAATAAGAAGAAAAAAAGAAAAAAAAAGACAGACAAGAAAGTTTGGTTGAAAAGCTCTAGGCAAAATGGTCTGGGTTTATTTTTTATTTTTGTAATAATTTCAAACACGCCATCATTCACTGTAATAAGATACCCCAGCAATGATGTATTTGCGGCCTTTTTTTTTTTTTTGCCTAAGATGACCATCCTTGGCTGAGTATCGTCAAAAAAAAAAAGACTCAACAATCAGAGTTAACAATCCATGTCCCAACTCCAGCTCCTTCCTGAGAACAATGCCTTCTATTTCTCCGTTTCTGCCTCTACCGCACACCTAGAATACTTTACCACTCACAGGATAAAACAAAGCACTGGAACATAGGGATTGTTTTAAATTATTAGATTTCATTAAACAGCCCAGTTGGACACTGGCTCATTGGAATTTACTGTGCTTCCTCCAGTTCTTAGAAAAAAACAAGAATTCTGTTCATGAAAATATTAGCTTGATCCAAGGATGTAAAAAAGTTAGCTGCCTCAGCTTTAGTTATTGCAGTTTGAGACCTCCCAAGAGGTCTAGAAGATTAGATATAGCAAAATATGAACGGGAAACAGTTTGCAAGTCATTTAATAACTACAGCTGTATAGAACTCTCGAATTATTTATTTTTCAAATTATTATTCTGAATTAAATATCAAATTTGTGAAACAAAATATATCATATGCCCTTGAAAGAACTGTAGAGTGGTGGATTAACGCTAATTCAAAACTTCTTTCTGCACTAAGGAAGAGAGGGGAACGCACAGTAATCCTGTGGGGTAGGTCCTATTATCCCCACTGGACAGAAGAGGAAAAAGAGGCTCGAAAAGCTGAAGTAACCTCTCAAAGATCGCATGGCCATGATGGCAGTGTCTTGCTAGCACTGCAAACTTGATCTCTTTTAAAGGAATATTAATCTTAAATTGAGTACTAGTTATTACTTACAAAATGACTACATTACTGTGGTTAATGACAAAAGATTTCACTGATGTTGGTCATATAGGAAGTTTAAGGGGAACCAAAATTAAGGACCCCAGATTCATCTAGGCCCCTTTTAAATACAAAATATTGCTAATTTTTCTCAACCTACTACTGGAGGGGAAGGGGGAAGCTTGCTAAGGCTTAAAACAATTACACAGCAATGCCATTCCTACGTACTACATCCAAAAGAACTGAATACAGGTACTGACACAAGTACTTACACACAAATGTTAATAGCACAATAGCCAATAAGTGGAGAAAATGTTCATCAAGAGATAAATGGAAAAACACAATATGGCATCCATGCAAGGGAATGCTTTTCCTGTTGAAAGGAATGACATACTGATGTGGTTTAACCTCAAAAATATTACACTAACTGAAAGAAGCCAGACACAAAGGTCACATGCTGTACGAATGTACCTATGTGAAATATCCAGCGTAGGTAAATCCAGAGAGATAGAAAGTAAATTAGTGGTGGCTTCAGGGCTAGCAGGGGATGGGTTATATCTGATGAAAATGTTTTAGAACTAAATGGTGGTGGTGATTGTATAATACCGTGACTTGACTAACTGCCACTGAACTGTGCACTATAAAATGGTGAATGAATTTTATGTTATGTGAATTTCACCTCAGTTAAAACAAAAATACACAATAATGAAGTAATGATGATTGGCCAGAGAGCTCTAGATGAAGAGCAGGTAATTTGCTTTTTCTTGGTTTGTCTCAATTTCAATGGGTTGTTGGCCATCATAAACCAATATATGAAAAATTACCCATTAAAAGCTCCAAATAAGGCATTCATGTATCTGAGTTACCCTATTTTGTCTAGTTGACAGAGCACCTAGTTGAGTTTACAGTTTATATGAAGCTTTAAAGATATTTTAATTTGTACAAAGTGCAAAGAAAAAGAGTATTGAGAAACATATGAAAAAACCATAAAATAGTCAGAGCCTAGGAAACAACATACATGCAAGTGGGGAAATCTATACACAGAGATGTAAACACTAGGGAGGGAAACCTGCTTTTCCTCAGAACTTACTTTGTGTCTCTCCAAAAACTGACTAGTAAACAGTAATTTGCAGTCACCACCCAACGGCTTTCGGCAAAGAGGTCACACACAGGGAGGGCCTAGCTGCCACTTCCAATTCCTCCCCTGGTGAAACAGCGCAGGAGGTTAAGTTACTGCAGGAGACTCAACAGCGCTGCCATTGTCCCGAGCTCCAAACTCAGAGGAACAATAGGCCCTATTCATCAGGAGGCTTACAGGCTGGGGATGGTCCCTCAGTGACTACTTTTTGTTAGGACATGGACTTTTCATAAACATGGACTTGTACAAATACATGTTAATTACTTTCAAAGAACAGCATACATTGAAAAAAACATTTCAATGGACACAAAATGGGGAGTTTGGACCCCCAAGTTTTATCCCCAACTCTCTGATGTGACTTTAAGCAAGTCACTTTCTTTCTGAGCCTCGGTTTCCTTGTTTATTAAGTGAAAATGACTTCTAAGATCACTTGGGACTCTAAAATTCTATGAACACTTATGAGGTCTATTAATGTTGTTGCTACACTATTCATTCCAACACTAGAGGGGATAAATTCTGAGCAGAAGAGAATCAAGAGTTCATATTGTTTCATTTACTATCAGCACCTAAAAACAAAGGGCCTTAAAAAAAACAGAAACTATTTTCTATATTCTCTTTAAACAGGAAAATCATAATGGATAGGTCTAGTGATCCCTCCATCCCACCAAGTCCAGGGTCATTCAAGCAGACTGCCCTACAGAAAGCACAGTGGTGAAGGGCAGAAACAGAAGCCACAGGTATGTTTGTCACCTTTTCTTAGGTTATGAATGCACTTGAAGAATCTCTCGATTTCTCTGCAATGACTCCAAATCCCCAGAAGAAAAATGCCTTTTACAACAAGAATGTGACCACCGTCCCGAGCTTCTACACCGCGTCATTTTTTTGTTTTTTCAACCTCGAAACTTGCCAAAGCAAGAACTTTGTCTCCAGAGCCTAAGAGAGAGACGCATAAATGAAAATGAAAAGGTCGTTTCAAATGCATTTACAGTTCCAGGTAAAGAGGCAAAAACGTATCACATACATATTGAAACAGAAATAAAATTCGCTTCCGTTACCAGTGCATTCCCCTAAGCTTTCCCCTTGCCATCCCAATTTCCTTCCCCTCCACACAAACAATCAGCTCCAAGGGTCTCCTATTGGTTACAAATGGTAAAAATTTAGTTTACCTTTATTTTTACATTTAGATGGCAAATATTCTTAAAGCATCAAGCTATATTAATTTAATTACTTAATTATAAAGTATTGGGAAATACACTCAATAAAAGGGATAATAAAGAACATAATTCTGGTTTTACCTCTAAACTCAATCTGAGAAGGCCATCATGTTATCTCACCTACACTGTCTGTCTATTGGACAGTAATCCATGTCCAACTTTCAGAAATACGAGATACTCACCGAGGTCTGTAGAGACTTTCTCGAACTGGCTGAGAATAGCACCTGCATTTGCTGACAAGAAGGCCTCATCCTCTGCAGTCAGCTAAACAAAACAAAACAAAACAAGTCCAGGGGAGTGGGTTCCAATCTTAACAAGCAGTTCCAGGAGCCACTGCTAAGAATGGCCCAGGACCATAAACTAGATCGCAGATCAAGAAGTTCTGTGCCAAATACTCTACACCTTTTCTTTATGGCTAATGCTATCTTGTATTATAAATAAGTTAAACACAGGTACCTTCTCTCCAAGTTTCCTGAGAGCTGTTAGTATCTCCACTTTCTGTTGAGTGTACAAGTCTCTTTCCAGCTTTCCAACCATGAGATCTCTATCCATCTACAAAGGATGAACACAAAGCAAATGGTATTTAAGTTACAAACATTCTATGCATAAAATACAGCTTTTCAGGTCCTCTTCTTTTAAAAATATCCTCTGGTGATTAATATTATAAGGAATTATAGAAACAATTCAAGACAAACATGATAGAAACACTATTCCACAGTTCTAATAAATCTTAATGCTAATCATAATCAGTTTTAGTTACAAACTGTTTAGTAGTAGAGTTTAGGGATTAGGAATTAGTAAGGCAACAGCTTCCTTTAGAGAGGATCTATCCTCTAAGAACTCATTAAACTGAATGAGGTCATTGGTATCAAGTCTCCTGGAACTTGGGTTAAATATTGCCTTTACCACCAGAAACAGTGATAGTATATACTATACTATCTGTGTGTGTGTGTGTGTGTGTGTGTGTGTGTGTGTGTGTGTGTGTGTGTGTATATATACACTATTATATATATAATAGTATACATATAGTATATATATAGTGTGTGTGTGTGTGTGTATATATATATACACACTATTCTGTGTGTTTTGTATATATTACATATTACACATAATACATGCTCTCTATATATTATTTCATTTAATCCTTATAACAACCATAAGAGGGAGAAACTATTATTATCACCATTTTTTTTACAGGTGGGGAAATTGAGGCACAAGAGTCTGAACAAAATAACTTCTCCAAGGTCACATATCTCTATATGGAGCAGGAATACAAATCCAGGCCAGTCTGACCTAAGTCCATATTCCTAATCACTATCCTACTGAATTACCAGTGCTTGCGAATAACCATTAATGCCTTAATTATAATACAATCAAGTTTAAAAACAGACTTTTTCAACTATCAGGTTTATAAAGGCATTTGAAATTCTTAGGTGAGAAAGGCCACACACACACAAAGCAATGCAATGAATTCTAGATGGGATTTCAACTCAGAGCTCCAGAAGTAAGTAGTAAAACCTCACCGGTAGAGTTCAAGTAGAAGTGGTCAGTAGCAATTTAAACTGCCACTTGCTGTTTAGCCTTCTATATTCAAAATCACAGTAACTGTTCAAAGACTAATTTTGACCATTTTTTAAAATGGACTTTTTTAGAGCAGCTTTAGGTTCACAGTAAACTGAGTGAAAGGAACTGAGATTCCCATATGCCTCTTGCGTCTCCATTACAAACCTCTCCCACCAGAATGGGACATCTGTTTCAATTGATGAATCTACACTGAAACAGTTTGCATTAGGGTTCACTCTTGGTGCTGAACATTCTCAACTGATCAATTTTTAAACTTCAGAAAAACATGAGCAAATTGTTGGGCTAAGAAAAAAAAAATACACATAGCAATTGGATCAATTTAAAGAAACTTTACCTCCGCTAACCTTGTCCGAAGCTGGCCTGGTTGTTTCTTTGCAAACAATCTGATGACCTCTGGGGTTTTAAAGGCCTGGCTGATAGCTGCTTGGATAGCCTAGAAATACAAGGGGAAAACTAACCAAAATATTCCAATGAATCAGATGTTGCAATTGATGGGTGGGTCTTCAATTATCAAATATTGTTACAATTTTAGTTTCCATTTGCTATTTCTGTGCATGTCACTGGAGTCAAGTATATCCTATATAATAAAAGCCTAGTATGCTAAGTGTCTGGTTGTCCATTCAACCAATCAAAATGTAATATTCTAATGATATGCTAAGGTCGCTTAACCGCTCCAGGGGGCAAATGCTCCAACTGGTAGGCTTGCTTGCTATTGGGGTCCAGCTGATTAGGACTGAGGAAGACAGACCAGACACCTCCTGCAGTCCCTTCCCAGGCTGGCAAACCTCCCATATCTCTCCCCGCTTGATAATGCACTGGTGGGGTCCCTCGGCCTGAGGGATGTCAATCTGAGACCCTTGGGGGATGTCAGACTGCTGATTTGGCTTTATCACTGCAGGCCAGGCTAAGGGACCCCACCGGTGCATGGATCTGTGCAGTGAGCCTCTAGTAACTAAATAAAAATCTGGAAGCATATGCTGTTTTATCCACAAGTGGACACTCACCTAGAAGTTAAACCTAAAAAAAAGATAAATTTTCTATCTTAAATATACAAAAAAAAAAAAAAAGAAATGACCTAACTGTGTCATCTAGGTAAGGAATTATGCTTACCAGTTGCATTCCACTTAGTTCATCTACCAAAGTCATATTTCCAGACATAATTTTCTTCAGTGAATCATTAAATTCACTTAGTTGCTCCAGCGTTTCCTTTTTGGTTTCTTCATATTCATCTGCATCAAGTTCCTCTCTGAAGTTCAGTGAATATAACATATAAAACACAGGGTTCCAAGTGCAAACAGCAATGTTAGTATTTGTACACTAAGACTTCAGATACATATATTTACAAAAAATATCTTGGGGAAAAAGTCTAAAAAGAAATATCAAAATACTAACGATGGGTGTATTCAGATATTAAAAATGTGGGCATTTTGCTGCAATGTGGTTAACTAAACATTTTTCTTTTATCAAAATGTGGCACACTTAAACCACATAATAACTTCTTTTTTTTAAAAATATATTTTAGCTAAAACCGATTTGGCTCAGTGGGTAGAGCATCGGCCTGCAGACTGAAAGGTCCTAGGTTCAATTCTGGTCAAGGGCATGTGTCTTGGTTGTGGGCATATCCCCATTAGGGGGTGTGCAAGAGGCAGCTGATCGATGTTTCTCTCTCATTGATATCTCTCTATCCTTCTTTCTTCCTCTCTGTAAAAAATCAATATATACAGCAGATGATTGGATCCAAAAACTATGGTACATTTACACAATGGAATATTATGCTGCCATAAAAAAGAAAAAAGTCTCATCGTTTGCAGCAACCTGGATGGAATTGGAGAACATCATGCTGAGTGAAACAAGCCAGTCAATGAAAGAGAGACACCACATGACCTCACTTATTTATGGTTGATAAAGAACATTATAAACTGAAGAACCAAAAGATAGACATAGAGACAGTAAAGCAACAAGCAGACTGTCAAATTACAGCAGGGTGATTGGGGAGATCTGGGGGAGATAAGAGATCAACTGAAGGACTTATATACATACATATAAGTACAACTAATGGACACAAAACTCTGGGGAGAAGGGTATGTACGGGAGGGGGGCATTGGTATATGTACAAAAATAATAATTTAATTAAAAAATATATTTTAAAAATCAATATATACCTTAAAATATATAGTACATATATTTTTTAATTGATTTTTTGCAAAGAGGAAGGGAGAGGGATAGAGAGTTAGAAACACTAATGAAAGAGAAACATTGATCAGCTGCCTCCTGCACACTCCCTACTGGGGATGTGTCTGCAACTAAGGTATATGCCCTTGACCGGAATCGAACCTGGGACCTTTCAGTCTACAGGCCGATGCTCTATCCACCGGTTAGGGCAAAAACTTTCTTTTACGCAGTCTGTAAATCAATGGTATAAACTTGGGCAAGATAGTTAACATAGCAAAGCCTCATTTTCAGTATCTCCAAACTAAAGATAAATAGTGCCCTCCGTATAGGGTTGCTAGGAGCATTAAATGAAATATGGAAAGTACTCGGCATGCAATGGGTACTGGCTGTTATTATCATTAATGGTAGGTAAATTTTGTGCACCTTGAAATACAACAGGAATGCAGTACTTGCCATGTGAGTAAGAGGCTCTTTTATGCACCAAACAAAGCATTTATTAAACATTTACTACAAATAACAACAGTTACTATTAATGGAGCAACTACTCCATCCAAGCATTTTGCTGGCTCCTTCATTTGTAATATTTACCATGGCTGCAGTCTTGGTCTTTTAAGTTGAAAAGGCTAAAAATACACCAGAAGTTCAAGTAGAACCTTCTCAGCTTGATAGCAAGCAGACCATTTTATTATTTTAGCCCCTATTATGGTTATTTTAAATACTGAAGACAAGGAAGGTGTTATTTCCACTTCACATAGATGAAAATGGAAACAAGTATCTTGTCCAAGTTCTCACTGGCTTTGTAATTAGATGAAAGACTTTCACTTCCCAGCCTTTATGACCCAAAGCCTGTCGTGACTTGATTTCCCCACCAGACAAGCCCTGTGAAGATCACTACAGAAGTAAAAGTCACACATGGGCCTGAACTCATGGAGTTTGTAATCCTGCTGCAGAAAAAAGCCATTTTTACAGCATGACGGCATACAATTATATTACCTGCATTCCTCCAGATCTTGTAATTGCTGCATTAGTCTATCCAACTGTTCTTCTAAATTCTGCTTTAATTTGCTTGTCTCCGTCTTTCCTCTGGAAGCCATTTTAATCTCTAAATAGAACAATAAACCCACATACAGTATGTAGTTGGTTATCCAAAAATGATTCAACATAGCAGAAAAATTTTAAATAGGCTATACTCTTTTTCTCAGCTATAAGGTGTGGGGAAGATAGTGTGCAAAGAAAATATCGATTTTTATATAAAAGTTTAAACTCACCTTACAAAAATGCCTGGCAGTTTTCTTTCTTTCTTTTCTAAGTGTTTTAATTTTAAATATTTTTTAAATTAAAATTTTTTTTAGAGACAGAGGAAGAGAGGGGGAGAGACAGAAATATTGATGCAAAAGTAAAACATCTATCAGTGGCCTCCTGCATGCTCCCTACCAGGGATGGAGCCAGCAAGCAGAGCATGTGCCCTGATCCCTGGCAGGGAATTGAATTGGCGACCCTTTGGTATATGGGATTGTGTCCAACTAACTGAGCCACACTGGCCAGCGCCTGGCAATCTTCTTAACTGAGTTGATGAATTAATTAGAAGTCTCCACTAGTGGGTCTATCTTACCTTAAACAGATTTGATAGATGAAAATACAGATTTATAAAGAAATAGATCAGGTGTGAACACAGATTCATTATAATATTCTTTTTCATTCTTAGTATGTTCCAGGACTTAGAACATTCTTAGACCCTAGCTGATTTGGCTCAGTGGTTGGAGCATCAGATTGCGAACTGAGGGGTCCCAGGTTCAATTCCAATCAAGGGCACAGGCCCAGGTTGCTAGATCTCTAGTAGGGGTGTGTGGGAGGCAGCTGGTCAATGATTCTCTCATCATTGATGTTTCTATCTCACTCACTCTCCCTTCCTTTCTGAAATCAATAAAAATATTTTTTTTTTTTTTTAAAAAGAACACTCCTAGTATTATCTTGCTGGTCATATGTGTATTTACCTAATATCGTGTGGGCATGAAAAACTTTGTATATGAATTTCTTCTTTGAAAATGTGCCCATTTTTCTACTGGATTGTAATTCCCTTACTGTTTATATAAGATGGATATAAAGACTGTGTTGCAATTATGTTGTAATTATTATCTCTTTTCTCCTGACTTTAAATTCTACTTATGTGTTTATCACAATAATTACTTTTTAAAAAAATATTTTTTATTGACTTTTACAGAGAGGAAGGGAGAGGGATAAAGAGTTAGAAACATCGATGAGAGAGAAACATCAATCAGCTGCCTCCTGCACACCCACTACTGGGGATGTGCCCGCAACCAAGGTACATGCCCTTCACCAGAATCGAACCTGGGACCCTTCCATCCGCAGACTGATGCTCTATCCACTGAGCCAAACTGATTTTGGCCACAATAATTACTTTTAATGGTCAAATCTATCTTCTCCTTAAGTCTTCTTAGTCTGTGCCCCATGAAAGCAGGTTCTATCTCAAGATTTAAAAAAAAATTATTTTCTATTCTAAAACTTTTATGTATGTATTTATAACACTTAGCTCCTTAAGCCACCTACATTTTTTGTTAATGCTGTGAAGTTAGGGATCTTTTATTTCCTTTCAAATGGACAGTCAATTGCCCAACACTGTTTACTAGTCAGTATTCCTTTATGCCACCTTTAATGTACTCAATAGTAACTCTGTAGTTTGTTCCATTGATAATATCCTGGTCCTAAGGCATTGCCTTGCTATTTTAATTTTTATAGCTATAGAGTTGATGTATAATGATAACTGATAAGAAGTTGCTTTTATTATGGGTTTCTTCCCCTGCCCCCTTCAATAACTCTTGGTTATTCGTGTACATTTCCTTTTTTAGATATGTATTTCCAGAAGAAATTTAGATAAATTTAAAATCAGTCTGTCAAGTTTGCTTAAAAATTAAATTGAGACCTAACTGGCTTGGCTCAATGGATGGAGTGTCACCTTGTGGACTGAAGGGTCCCAGGTTTGATTCCAGTCAAGAGAACATATCTCGGTTGCAGGCTCAATCCCCATGCAACTAATTGATGTCTCTCTCACACTGATGTTTCTCTCTCTGTCTCTCCTTCTCCACTCTCTCTAAAAATCAATTGAAAAATATCCTTAGGTGAGGATAAACAAACAAATAAATAAATAAATAAATAAATAAATTCAATTGACATTTTGACAGGGCTTACAGTTAAATTAGACACTAATGTGGAGAAAACTCATATCCTTGAAATTTGCGTCTCCCTATCAAGCAATATCTCTCTATTTTATTAGACTTTCTTTTATAATTTTTAAAAAGAAATTTTTTTTTTTCACAAAGGCCTTGAACATTGGCTATTCTTAGATATTTTGTATTTTTTGTTAATATTGGGAATAGGGTCTTCATTATTATAATTTCTGATTAATGCTGGTGTAGAGAAGAGCTACTGATTTTGGTGTTAGTATTGTATGTATCTAACAGTTATAGCATTTAAGTTTTTCTATTTATAAAAATTAAACTTACATTCCTTTCTGGAAACAAATATTTCCTAGTATTATATATAAACTTTTAATCAAAACCTAAATTATAGGGTAACATATTAAAACATTTAAAATTTTCCTACACATAATCATTATCAGACGATTTAATATATGAACTTCAATGAAGAGAATGACTTACATCATATTCAAATAATTTAATCAGTGAAAATCTACTCTTACTACCTGCCATACCTCTTAAAACTAGTTTAAATAATTTGCAATCATTATTAACATGTAAATAAATACAGCCAGAAGTGTAATTTATCATAGCTATGCCTCATGTAAAATTTCCCCTGGAAATACATAAATTTTATTTTAAATCTGTTGTATTTTCCAGTAAAATTCAAGGCAAACCTGAGATAAAAACCAAAGTGTCTTTTCAGGATTAATTTTATATAATCTAACCATGCTATTTTAGAACATGCTATGAACTTTCTTTTTTTAAAATATATTTTTATTGACTTCAGAGAGGAAGTAAGAGAGACAGACAGAAACATCAATGAGAGAGAATCATTGGTCCTGCATGCCCCCTACTGGGGATTGAGCCTGCAACCCAGGCATGTGCTCTTCAGTCCGCAGGCTGATGCTCTATCCACTGAGCCAAACCAGCTAGGGCTATGCTATGAACTTTCATCCTTCTCTTGGGAGCCTGAATTTTTTTCTACCTGACAAACCCAGGTCTTTCAGTCTTAAGGGTCTACCTCAAGTTCCACCTCCTCCACTATAATGCCTTCTTTGGTTACCCCCACTCACTAGGTTGTGAGTTATTTGAGAGTAGGGATTTTGATTCCTCTTTATAAACCAGCATCTAGCACAACGCTAGACACACAGAAAGTACTGGATAAATAACTGGCAAATTAATAACGAAAAGAGATCACTTCTACAACATTCCACTTTTTTTTTTTTTTTTTTTTTTGGTCGTTGGTTTTTGTTGTTAATCCTTTCCTGGGAATGTTTTTCCATTGCTTTTCAGAGAGTGGAAGGGAGGGAGGGGGAGAGAGAGAGAAACATCAACATGAGAGAGACACATTAATTGGTTGCCTCCTGCAGGTGCCCCCACAGGAGGGCATGGAGCAAACCAGCTACCCAGGTATATACTCTTGACCCGGAATCGAACTTGTGACCCTTCCATATGTAGCCTATGCTATAACCACATAGTCACACTGGCCAGGGCTGCATCCCACATCTTATTCTCTATTTACCACTTATTGCTTCATTGAATTATATGAGTTCATTATAGCATGTTTTCTGTGTCTGCCTCTCCAACTGTAAAAGTTCTGAAAGCAGAAAATTAGTCTGATTCCTTGCTTAGCCTTGATATTCAATAACTGGATGAAGAGTATAAAGGCACAACATATTTTAGGGAGGAAATACTATTCTAAATAAGTTTCAGGGAAGATGGAGAAACTTTAAAAGCCTTAACCTGGCGCTACATTGAGATTTATCCCAGAAAGATTAACTCGTTGGCACCATCTAGTCTTCAATAAAGGTGGTGCATCTTTTACCAAAAACGGCAGAAATGGTTCTCAAAAGCTAATCTGGAGAGGAAACTACTCATTCATACTCACTTGACTCTTAAAAAAACAAAAAACTTTTTAACTTATTTCGGAGAGGAAGGGAGAGGGAGAGAACCGTTGGTTGGCAGCCTCCTGCATGCCCCTTACAGCCGCAACCCAGGCATGTGCCCCTGACCTGGAATCGAACTGTGACCTCCAGGTTCACAGGTTCTCGCTCAACCACTGAGCCCGCCCACCGGGCTCCGCTGCCTCTTATTACTCTGAACTCCGCACAGTGCTGACAGGTCTCCTATTGCCTAACCCTCCAGCTCCTGGGGTCCCAGTGCCATAAGCTTGAGCAAAGAGAAACTGTTCATCGGAACTACAAGAAGCTCGTGCAAACAAACCACCGTGGGGTGGAGCTGGCTGGGGAAAGAAAAACCATTAACAAGTAGTTTTTATTCACTAAACATGACCTTGGCCTAAAGCAGCCCAGATAGCTCCCACTGGAGCCGCCGGCAATTGAAACACACATCCCTCTCTTTCTAGGAAGACATCAAGCGGGCCTCGTGGGGGGACGGGGAGGAGGGCGGCCTTTCCGAGAAGCTGCCCAGTGAGGGCGTTATGAGGGAAACCCCGCTCGCGGACTCGCCTGGAGGGAAGCTGTCCAGTCCAGGAGGCACGGAAAAGGAAGGGCGGAGAGCACGCCTTTTCCCGCTTCCGGCTGGAAGTGAGCCGCGTTTGGACTCAGCCTTCCGGGCGCGGTCAGGGGGCAGCCCGGCCACGGCCCCAATCCTGTCTCCACGGGGAGCGTGGAGCTCCTTCCCGCACGGGGTCCGGCGGCGGCCGGGCTCGGCTGGGCCCCGGCTCCCGCCAGAGGTCGCCGGGAACCTAACGCCCCGAGACTCCTCGGCCCTCCCCGACCAGAACCGGACAATCTCTCCAGGATTTCGGGGTTCCCTCCCCGTCTCAGTCCCCAGGTCCTCAGAGTGAAGAGCCAGGGGCCCCGCCTACCTGATAGTCCTGGACTGGCGGACGCGCGCTGGGGGAGCACTTCCGTCTGACGCACGCACTTCCGGCCTCCGGGAGCCAATGAGCGCGCGGCCGCGGGTGTCTCCCTCGCTGGCGTCCGGGCTGCGGGCCGCCCGCCCAAGGACTCGGGCCGCTTTGCTCTGAGGACATGGTGAGTCCCCACCCCGAGCCCGTGAGAAACTCGTATCGAGGGGAGTCAGCCCAGCCCCCCGTTTTGTGGCGAGCAGAGGGGAGGCCAGGTGGCGGCCTCTTGGAGGGTCAAATACAACGGTTGCCGAGGCGAGGTCATATTCAAGTTTGGGGCGAGGAGTCTTGCCTCTTCATTCTTTTTTCTCTCTGTGGAACCCAAAACCTCGGTCAGTTTGCCTCTGACCTTCGAAAGTGGTGAGTTCACCCTGAAAATCAAATCAAATCAAATCAAAGTTCCTCTAGAAGCGGCTTTTAGAGCTTGGCGGAGGTGGTGGGAGGCAGAGTAGGAAGTCTGTTCTGAACGATTTCTCTTTCCTCCGAAATCTTTTCCAAATCAAGAAAGTGCTAGGTTACCCTAACCGGTTTGGCTCAGTGGATAGAGCGTCGAACTGCAGACTCAAGGGTCCCAGGTTCGATTCCGGTCAAGGGCATGTACCTTGGTTGCTGGCACATCCCCAGTACGAGGTGTGTAGGAGGCAGCTGATCGATGATTCTCTCTCATCGATGTTTTTAACTCTCTATCCCTCTCTCTTCCTCTCTGTAAAAAAATCAATAAAATATATTTTTTTAAAAAGAAAAGGAAATGCTAGGTCTACCTTCCTCGATGCGGTTTGACACTCACGCCGCATAGAAATAGAGAGCCAGAAGCATGGAGCCCCTGGAGAAGGAGACTAGTGAGCTGTTGGGCAGCACTTTGAAAATTACTGAGAAATTAGGTGGAAACCATTTTCTGCTGTTGCCCAGCCCATCTCTTTGAAGCGTTTCTGGCAAATACGTCAGAGATGTTACCTTTAAAGCTACTTCTTTTTCAGGCGCCCAGAGTAAACGTCCAGCTGATATTACCAGAGAACTCTACCAGAACAAATTATTCCTGTCAGTTCTGCCTGATGGTAGAATTCCTTACTTCTTACCATAAGTTGTATTTTAGAGTTACAATTTGGGTGTGAAACCACTGTTTGGACCTCAACCTTCAGGACGTAATAACTATGTGTACTAGACCATGGGTGTGTGTGTGTGTGTGTGTGTGTGTGTGTGATGTAATCACTTGATTAGTTACTTAGATCTCTAACCACTATGTCAATTGTAATGGGAAAAATGTGGATTAAAATAAAGACTGACATACTGGTTGGAATGTTTCAGTAGCTTACCTTGCAAAACACTTCAAATTCACAGAATGCCCTTTGTAAAAGTACGTGATGATTATGTTAATGTAATTATCTGGAATTTCTGGTATGTGGCTATGTAGGGAAGTGTCAACATTTTAAGTAATAGGGGACTTTCAATACAAATAAGTTCAGTGCGAAACCAAAAGCTGGAAAATACATTTTATTTCACCATTTGAAGAACTTGCTGAATAAGCATTTGCTCCTGTGTACTTCCCCTAATTTTCATGTTGGTGATACAATATTCTATTCAGGCATTTGTGTTGGTTTTGGTGTATGCAGTTTTGAAGTTGAAAGTGCTCACCATACAAGCATCACTAGTATATTTGCCTGCTCTTCTTTCTTTTTTTAAAATGTATTTTATTGATTTTTTTATAGAGAAGAAGGGAAAGTAATAGAAAGGCAGAAACATCAATCAGCTGCCTACTGGGGATGTGCCTGCAACCAAGGTACATCCCCTTAACTGGACTTGAACCTGGGACCCTTTAGTCCGCAGGCCGGTGCTCTATCTACTGAGCCAAACTGGCTAGGGCCTGCTCTTCTTTCTTAGTGATTTAATCTGATCTAGTGATTCTGAACCTTTGGGTCTTGTTTATAGTTAATGGAGAATGGAAAAGTATTCCTTGTGCATAAGTAGAGAAGTTGGTTTGGGTTCCAGCCTTCAAACAAAAATAGAACCCAAGCCCTGGGAATCGGGGAGAAGAAATTGTAAAAATATGTATCAGGTAAGTAGTCATGGGAGAGAGCGTTGGAGAAAACAACCTCAGAACTGAGAGCCAGAACGGGAAACCAGATACAGACACATTTTAGAGATATTGCAATTCAGTCCCAGACCACTGTAATAAAGTGAGCACCCCAATAAAGCCAGTCATAATCTTTCTCCTTGTGGAAGGTTTGCCTTTAATTCATAAAATAAAGAAAAGGCAGCCGAAACCGGTTTGGCTTAATGGATAGATCGTCGGCTTGGGGACTGAAAGGTCCCGGGTTCGATTCCGGTCAAGGGCATGTATCTTGGTTGTGGGCATATCCCCAGTAGGGGGTGTGCAAGAGGCAGCTGATCGATGACTCTCTCATCGATGTTTCTAACTCTCTATCTCTCTCCCTTCCTCTCTGTACAAAATCAATAAAATATATATATATAAAAAAAAGAAAGAAAAGGCAATACCTGTGAAATGAAATGAAATGAAATGAAGCACAATACAATGAGGTACACCTGTAAATACTAATTGACAGCTGCAGTTCAGAACACTTCAACTTGGACTTGAGATGGAAGCCTACAGTGTGCAAGTTGCTCCAAGTAGGTAGGGAAAACGCAGGGCAGATGAAACTTGAGTGATTAACAAGAAGTACCATGAGCCACCCTTGATGGTAATCTAACCTAGGACCCTTCAGTCCATGGGCCAATGCTCTACATATTGAGCAAAACTGGCCATGGCTATTTCCTTGTTAATGTATGAATTATTCAGGTTTCTAAACACCAAGTTTTCGAAATATGACTGGGATACGGAAGGTGCTAGAAAATGCCAGTGTTGTGGATAGTGAATGTGTTTCGGTGACTTCCACTCCAGCAAGTCCCACCTGAACAGAGAAGCAGATGAAAGCAGTTATTTCTACTGTGAAGGTCTGTGCCTGTCATCCATGTGCTTGGGAGATATTTACATTTAATTTGTCCCTCCCGCCAATGGACACAGGTCTTTTTCTCAGGAAATAGAGGTGTCTCCCCTTCCTAAAGATATTCAGAACACCTGTGAGTATCTAGGTCCTACTTAGCATCTGCGACTACACAGAAAAAGTAAGAAGATGAAACACCATGTGGGTCACTTGGCTGTTTTCTAGATAGTAATTGACTGTCATGATGCACATGATTGTCGTAACCCATATGGAGGAGATTGTGATTATTTTTCATTCTGTTTACTCCCAATTTCCCGCTGCATTTTTTAAAAAAGCAATGAATTTCACTAACCGGTTTGGCTCAGTGGATAGAGCATCAGCCCACAGACTGAAGGGTCCCAGGTTCGATTCTGGTCAAGGGCATGTACCTTGGTTGTGGGCACATCCCCAGAAGGAGGCGTGCAGCCGGCAGCTGATCAATATTTCTCTCTCATCGATGTTTCTCACTATCTCCTTTCCTCTTTGTGAAAAATCAATAAAATCTTTTTTTAAAAGAAGCAGTGAATTGACCTTGTTCAAACATGCAATCTGAATCACAGTTCCTTCGTAACTAAACCTTTGTTCATCACTAAGATTTATAGTTCCCTTCTTCTTTTTCGGTACTTGTTTCTGTAGCAACCATGCAACTGTTGCTGTCACTTCCCTAAAACAAAAAGGCGGTTCAGAAAGTCAGAGTAATGGTCTTGAAAGTATTTAATAGGAGGTCCTTATTTGGGGTGAGTTTGGTTGTGCTGTTAGCCCTGTGATTTGGGTTGATCTCTTCCTTTTTCTCCATTGTCCGTGCTCATTAATGCTTAAAGGCCGCGTTCTTTCAAGAAGTGGCTTTGATGTGCTTCCTGTCATAGCTCTGATGTTCGGCTGGTCATTTCATCTCGGGAGGAGCAGGGTAGGAGATGGTGATGTGTTTGCTGGCAGTGGCAGGTGCAGTGCTGCGGGGACAGGCTCACCCTGCTGGTGACATGTATCTGAGGCAGGAGACCTGCCATGCTTCAGTCTGAACAGCCCCAGGCCTGAGGAAAGCACCCAGAATGAAGAATGAGATCTAGAAAGGCTGAGCCCACTGGGCCCTATAGCACACTTAGCCCACAAAGCCAGTCTATCTACTCAGGGAAGCAGCCAAAATGCAGAGACAAAGAAACAGTCACAAATGAAAGAAATGGAGGAAAGCAAACTACTGGATATAGAGTTCAAAACCACAGTTATAAGGTTACTCAAGAATTTTCTAGAAACCTCCAAGAAATTTAATGAGACCCTCAAGAATATGAAAAAGGGCCAACTAGAAATTAAGCATATACTGACTGAAATAAAGAATAATATACAGAGATCCAACAGCAGACTAAAGGATCCCAAGAATCAAGTCAAAGATTTGAAATACGAAGAAGCAAAAAAACACCCAACTGGAAAAACAAAAAGCAAAAAGAATCCAAAAATATGAAGATATTTTTGTAAGTGTAAGAAGCCTCTGGGACGACTTCAAGTGTACCAACATCCAGATTATGGGGGTGCCAGAAGAAGAGAGAGAGCAAGATATTGAAAACCTATTTGAAGACATAATGACAGAAAACTTCCCCTTCCTGGTTAAAGAAATAGACTTACAAGTCCATGAACAACAAGTGACAACAAATATCAAGTGAATCTAAAAATCAAGTGAATAAAAATTCTGAAGAACAGAATAAACTGTGAATATAATAGAATCAGGGGCATAGAAAGGGAGTGGACTGACAATTCTTGGGGGGAAGGGGGTGTGGGGGATGCGGGAAGAGACTGGACAAAAATCGTACACACATGGATGAGGACAGGGGACAGTATAAGGGCAGAGGGTAGGATCAACTGGGTGGAGGGGAGCTATTGGGGGAAAAAGAGGAACTGTAATAATCTGAATAATAAAGATTTTTTTTTTTTTTTTAAAGAATGAGATCTAATGAAATGGCATGGCAGTAACGGGAGAAGGGTGGCTTTTTCTATCCTTTCTAACCCTCTCTGCTTTTTCTCTTGCTTTTCAGACGCCTTAGCTTCTTGGACTTCCCTTTGCCGTGTGACAGTCCTAGCTGAGCTGTTACTTCCCCTGAAGGACCCATAAGCCTCTGACAAAGGTGGGTTTTAGGGACGTTTGTTGCTCGCCTGTAGA